CAAGTCACGGTGTCCAGAGAACAAGTGCCGCCATCCCCCCACTCCGGGGCATGGCAGAAACCTACGGGTGCCCTAATATAGAAATTCTGCCAAAACTTTCCCGCACGTGTAACCAACTTGCCGTTCCATAAAAACCTACAGTACTCTACCCACTTCCCAATGGCCTTAGTTGCCGTGGGATAATTAAAAAAAAAATATATATTTTTTATGTATACTTAATTTAAAAATAATGTTATTTTAATATAATACGATAATAATGTACACTGCCAAAAACGATTAAAATTTAATTAAAATTTCTAAAATAATTTTAAAAAAAAACAAAAAATATAAATATGAATTAAGGGATAATATTATTGGGGATATTTTGTATATAGGATATTTTCAACATAGGATATTTGTAACGGGGATATTTTTAACGTGGGACATTTTGAACGTGGGATATTTTGATGCACGGGATATCTTGAGGGTGCACCGAGATGGTTTACCCATTTTTAATATACATTTTAAGATAATTATTAAATGGATGTAAAACTTAAAAATTAAATTAAATATTCAAATTTGAGTAAATATATTATAATAAAGATTACCAAGTTTTTTTTTTTTAGAAGCTATTCAAGATTCAAACATCATGTATTTGCGTATATGTATATTATTGTGATCATGGAATGGATTTTATTGTACCTAACTATTAAAGTAAGTATTATAAGATTAAATGATTAAAATATATGACTAAAATAGTTAATTTATATTTAAGAAATAACACGTAATATTGTAATTGTAATATACAATAATATTTAAATTATTTGCAAAGTTGAAAATACATTATTTAATCCATAAAAAATTAGCTGAATATTATAGTGGTAAATATTTACACATAAGATCATTAAAGCAACATAATGATTGTTCGAGTATTAGATTATATTTTAATAATGGTGATACCCATTATTGTCAATAAGGCCATGCGTAAAAAGAACAACTGTCTCAAGTACTGATTGATCAAATAAAAACAATCGGCGTTTTATCTAAATTCAACTGTTTTGAACTATATACAGTAAGATTATCTTTACTATAAAATTTAGTTTGAATTATTATAGGTAGACTGTTTGTTTATATTATATTATTTTAAAATAAAATGAAACCAATATGTTATTGATTGATTAGTGGTTATTTTAATTTGAAATTTATTATTAAAATATATTTATTACTTTATTGAAAAAAAAAAATTGGAAAAATTGACTTGATGCTGCTATGAAAAAACATACCAGTGGAGTTTACATATTTTTTTTCAGGTAAAAAAAATGTACCGGTGGAGTTAAAATTTTTTTTTTTAGGTAAATTAAACGTACCGGTGGATCGGTGGAATTAACATGAAAAAAGGTCTAAAAAGGTCACAATCGGTGGAGTTTACATGCGCCCAAATGAACTTTATTAAATTCACTTACTTTTTATCATTTAAGAGCTTGTTAATGTTTTTCAAAAACTCAATTTTATTAACAGTCAATAAGTCCATCGATAACGCCATTCCCGCGTCCACCAAATTAATCACATTTCTTGGTTGGTCATAAAAAAGAGGGAATCCGAGAACTGGAACTCCAGCGTCTACAGCTTCATACACTCCAGATATTCCACCGTGGCTTATGAATAACTTTACTTTTGGATGAACTAAAATTTAATTATGAAAAATTAATAACTTATAACTGATTTGACGAATTTGATATTTTCATAACTTACGAAGAATATCCCGTTGTGGGAACCATTTTCTGGTCATGATATTTTTAGGCAAGTCACTAATTTCACCATCATACTTCCACAATACTCTTTGAGGAACTTGTGCAAACACTTCAATAAATGTTTGTAGAATGTGTTTTGGCAATGTTGCCATTGATGACACTGATCCAAATGTAAAGTATATTACTCCATGTGGCGAATTTTCAATAAATTCTAATATGTCCTGRATAATATAAATTAAATAATTAAAAAAACTAATAAATAACAGAATTGTTGGTATTATTAATTATTTTAAAAATCTTATGTTTATTAATAGGTGCAGTATATAATTATAATCCAACACATTTTTTAGAAACTTTTTGAACATTGTTTGATTACTCGTAGACTTTGTTAGACTTTATATTTTCACCGGTTAACTTTTTGAGACAACATCAATAACAATTCGTATGCATAATATACGTTATTAAAGGTAGTGATTGTTATGTATTATACTGATATAAACTTTTTAGTTGTTGATTATTATTTTAGTCTTATAGAGGAGGAAAAATCAATGACCAATTTAAATAATTAAAAATAAATTGTTCGATAAAAACCCTGATCGGGGGCGAAGCTTCACAAATAATACAATTTTAATGGGAAAAAATAAAAATAAAATTTATATTTTTAAATTTAAAAATGTTTTCACTAAAGAAAATCCGTATGCAAGTGAGCAATTCACAATTTACTTAATTATTACTTTTATTTTTTATGTTAATAACCTTACGTAAATCCATGAAGCTAATGCAAGGGTTATACTAACCACATAACCATCTGTACCTGTTAAKTGCTACCCAACGTTATAATATACGCTGTAACTAATACCCAAATCGTTAATACTCACTTCCGGTAACACTTTGGGTGGCTGCAGATGGATGCCTCCGATCTGTATCATTTTGACTGGGAACGGTCGCGGCGATTCGGTGATGAAATGTGTATTGATAAACACCAACGATGGATTGTGCCGGATGCCGGCTATGTCGTAGGGTCTCGGTTCTCGGTACATCATCCGCACGTTGGTAAGCCACACTACAATTTTGACGTACGCGAACAGCGCAACGTTGGTCAGCCGCTGCATGAAGCCGTCCATGACCGCTCCATTATACAGAAGATGCGGCACGTACGACGGGTTGGGCTCGGTGCCGAATAACATTGACTCCATGGTTATCATCGATGAGGGGATCACATAGATTTCAGGCACCCGCATCTTGTGCGCCAGGTACGATAGGCACGGTGAGTAAAACGGCTCAAGCATAATTACGTCGTACCGTCCGTCGGCACCGCGGTTTAACAGGTCTCTGATCGGCTCAAACTCGTAAAAAGCGTCGCAAATGTCACGCTCGTGGCTGCGCTTCGGCCATGGAGGCAGTATGTTCATCACCGACCCGTACTGCTCGATCATTTCCATTGCGCCCATTAACGGGTATATTGGTAACACCTGCGACGCATCAATTTCCGTGTAGTTCTCACGGTTGTTGGTGAGCAGCGGCGTGATGACGGTTACATGGTGTCGGACCGCCAACAAGTCCAGAATGGACTTCATGTACTGCCAGTGGCTTTTACTACCACACGGTTCTATCGCCAATATTCGCGCCCCAAATATGATCCTGGGACAAGATTGCACGGCTAGCAACGATGTCAACAGTAATATGTTCATCCTATGTGTACACTGTACAGTTAGATTAAACGATTGTGTTTTAGATTATTTGAACGTACGTATAACAAATGAATGTATCTATAATATCTATATTTTTAATGACGTGTTTATGTTTTTTATATTATTTTATTTGTCATCAACATTTGGGGTAAGAAAATTCACTTTTTTCTTCATTAGCATATTTTCTGATAGAAAATTAAACTTAGCTGGTGAATTTGGGAGGTAAAATTAGGAAATCCTCATAAGTTTTTGACATTGTGAAGAAATCAAAAAAATGAAATTGGAATCAATCTTATTTTTTGGTGTAATTCAAAAACTAAGAACCGTAGCAACTAGAAATTATATACAGGATATTATATGTAATATACAAAATAATTTTTCATACATGGTATATAATTTGGATTTTCAAAATATTTAACTATTTTTCAAGCTAAATTTATAGATTTTATGAATTTTTTAATTTTTTTTTTTTTTAATTATTGTAGATAAAAACTTTTCAAGTAAATACACGACTTAGACAATTTTATACAAGGATTCTTATATAACTTACTTAAATAGCAGTTCAAACATATTAAAGCTGCATAGGCAAAGTTTATTTTTATATTAATTTAAATTTTAAAGTTTCACAAAATTTACGAAAATTTTAAAATTATTTTGTAAGGAATTCATAAAAGTTTTTCTGTTCTTAGCTTATTACTAGAGACCGGAATTATATTCTTTAAAAATAGCCAAAATAAGATGCTAATAATTCTCTTAAAAAGTTTAAAATATTCTTCCAATATTCTTTAAAAATCATAATAAAATATGCCAAAAATATGATTTTTGCTTGGAGCTAGCTATTTTTGTGTAGTAATTCCATTTTTTGTCGGGCGTTGTTATCTTAGATAAGGCTCATATCTTATATACTACAGTGGATTGCAGCACATTATTACGTAGGATATAACAATCGTATATACGATGGACGATGGTATATAAATATATAGATTATAGGTAGTATATTTTTAATATCATATCATTATCACTATTATCGGACATAATATAATTTATATTATTTACGTCACTGCAACCAAAAATATCGAACATCTATACAAATTAATCGATATATTCTCTAATATTCTTTATTATACAAAATATTCTTTTATCTTGAAATATTCTCAAATATGCAAAAAAAAACTTTTGCCATTATTACACCTGTTTCATGATTTGTAAAGATTTCAAACCCCCGTCTGACTGCATAGCCTCATAAAAAATATGCAAAAGAATAAAATTCCGGGCTCTACTTATTATATTAGAAAATTTAATCAAGAATTATTTACTAACTACTTACTTTTTTTTTTAGTTTGGTTTGTTTTTGCATCACATTATTCTCTAATTTTATTTGATTACATAAACAAGTTTTTAATTTATTATTTAATACAGATATATAGATCATATTTTTATTTTAGATTCTGATTATTCTGAGCGGGATGGTACAATAAAGTGCTTGTTAGAACTTTTGAGAGTTCAAAATTGAATTTTCTGCTGTTTTTAAGAAATATTCACTTGATCATAATCGTTGTATGTATATATTTGAGTACCATTTAGCATAAAATGAATCACTCTGTATACTGCAGTAATGTGTCTACTTTTAATTTATAAGAACATACCAATATTATACTAAATATAGGAAATTTATTATGTTTGTTATGTATATTGAAATAAGTAAACTTTGAATTGCAATACTATTAAAGTGTGTAAAAGTACGATGCACAAAGGCAGTATGAATTAAGAATATTAAGATTCAACCAAAACAAAAATTAGATACATGCTAGTATGCTACAAAATTATTGTGCGTCATACATGTTACTATGTTAGTTATTACATGAACTACCTTTGCCATAACACATTTGCCTAATCTCCTAATCGAACAACGAAATTTAACATGAATAGATTCGCTGTATACCAATTGAGTCCCTATACCTGAAGGGGAAAAAAATTATATACTTATTGAGTCCCAGGTACAAACGAGATATATACTAATTGAGTTATATAAAATATAAAATCAACCGCCCGAGTCCAGACAAAGCGGAAATTATGCCGCAAAGACGTGTCTTATAAAAGATAAAGAAAAAGAAATTCAACATCAAATGCAGCCTGCTGTTGCAATCAAACAAAATAAATAGATTTGAATATGTACAATGCTTGTCCCATACATTTTTACCAATATAAAGAATTATAAATTATTATCATTATCTATATTTATTAAATTATACACAATTAATTATTCATACTGTATTATTATACCTCTACATTATTATATATTTATATTATAATAAAATATTTAAAAAAACAAAAAACATTTTTAACCATTCCTGTAGAATTTTTTGCTACAGATAGTCCTAAATCTGTAAAAATGGGAAGGAAAATATTTTTTTTTTTAGTTTGACGGGACTCAGTATTAAAACATGGACTCAATTAGTATTACACCTAAAATTTCACTGGACTCAATTGGTATACAGGGTGATTTTTTTATCATGAACCACTCTTTATTTCAAAAAGTATCAGTGTTTTTGAAAATATTTTTTTATAAAGTTTCATGTTGTTAAAAAAACAACGTTTTTATTGAAAAATTATGTTTTTTAATATTTTTTATCCTTATAATTTTTTAAGTTTTTTACTTTTTTGAATGACAACCTAGAGTTTTAATTTCATATTCCAATGTAGAATATTTTCCTAAGTATTTTGATACTTAAAAATCAAATTTTGAAAGAGTAGTTTATGAGTTATAAGTATTTAAAGTTTAGATTGGTAGAGTGGAGTGGTACGGGATTACCCCGTAAAATGATTTTTCCACTAATCCACTTCTCTAAACTTTAAATACTTATAACTCATAAACTACTCGTCCAAAATTCGATTTTCACGTATCAAAATACTTAGGAAAATATTCTGCTTTGGAATATGAAATTAAAACTCTAGGTTCTCATTCAAAAAAGTAAAAATCTTAAAAAATTATAAGGATAAAAATTTTTAAAAACGTTGGTTTTTTAACAACATGAAACTTTGTAAAAAAACATTGATACTTTTTGAAATAATGAGTGGTTCATGATAAATCACTCTGTATACCCTAAAACAACCAGGKACTCAATTCGTCAAAAAAGGTTATACTGGGACTCAGTTCGTATGCAGCCAATAGATTATATATAAGTTATATAATAGGGTATAGGTTCTTGCTCGTAAATGTGTGCACATAATTATTGTTAAATTTTCAAATAAATCTTCATTATAAGAATATCTATATAGTTGGATAATATTTACATAATTTATTTCTTAAAACCAAAAAAATAATCATTACAATTAATAATCAATTATAATTGGCTAAAATTTATATTTGGTATAAATAATTATATTTACAGCTAATATCTTTCTATTGTATAACATTTGTTTTGCAATTTATTTTATTGTATTTTATTATTTACATAATCTTTATAATATGCGCATTACTATTGTTTTTATTCCACTGATAAATTAATAAAATTATAAAGGATATCTATTCCACTCGTTCGTGATTACTAGTTATTTAAATTTGTGTGTAGTGGTTTTTTGGATAGAGAACGTTTTTATTTATTTATGCGTAAATAGAATTTAAGTTAAACTGTAAATAACTCAAATTTTTTTCTATAAATTAACTAACTGAATGATTAAAATACTAACACTCAGTAAATAAATAAACTGAAGTTCTAATAAGTTTATAATCATAATAATTATATTTATTTAAGTCATACAAATAAGTGGATTAATATTATCAGATAAAAAATTAAAAATAACAAATATTAATTGAAACTCGTAATTATTTCGGAATCAGTTCCAAAGTCAGGATACTTTTATGGACTATTGATATTGATATATATTAAATAATTAGTGAGATTAGATGACAAAATTTTATACTTTGACCATTAGTTTAGAGATAAATTATAAAAACACAATATCTTAAGTTCTATGGTAATATTGTGTGAGATTTAATATGTAAGTATTTGTAACTAAAAATTGTATTATATTAACTAGGAATTTCGTGTTTATGAAACTTAAAAAATATAATATAATATATAATAATATAATAATAATAATAATATAATATAATATAATCAATATATAAATGGACTGTATTTCCTTAGCAGTGAAACTAAGTTCATATTATACAAATATTAATACCTACAAGTTTTGTACAAAAGTTCATGTTTTACCTTAATTTTTTGTTTGTTTTCCCAGCCGCTTTTGAAAACTATTGAGAATTTTTTATTTTTGAACTTTTTAACTCTCAGACTTCAGAGTATTAACTAGATTCACTTTCCTACCAGAAAAGATACTGTTGAAGAAAATCGAAACATTTTTATTGCCCAAAAAGGCGATGAACGGCAAAAAAAAAAATTTTAAAACACCACATAATAATAGTTGTAAAATCAATACATTTATCTCTCGGCTCAGAATCTAAAAAAATCCTAAGTATAAATGTAATTTAAATTAGGCTCATTTTTATGGAACTATAAATAATAAAATTACTTAACATTGTTATTAAGACTTAATTACAATTTTAGTGGAAATGTTTTTATGACTAATTAAACATTAGTTAAATATATATAATACGTTTTTGTACTAACCTCCAATCTACGAAATCGAACAATAATTATAGCGATATTTGTGTTATTGTAAAAAAGTGCAAAAAGCTTACACACCACACAAGTAACTATATACGACATAAAAACCTGAAACCCTTATTTATATATACCTGTTAGTAATTACTTATATATAGGTACTCAAGTATACTTCAGATATTGGTTGGCAAATTTCGCAATAAGTAGCAAAAATTCATGTCAATGAACTTTAATCATCATCAAGATATGTATGTTCTGCACTCAATCAAGTCTTTAAGTACAATTGTTATAATCATAAAATTTAATTTGTACATTTCTGATACTTATATTGGCTTATTGCATGTTTTGCCGATTGTATGGATTATGAATAAATACTTGTGCAAGTGGAGTGCACAATTCTACAGAAATTTTAACAATCTGTATTTATCAGTAAAATAAACTGAAGAGATGGAAAAAAAATTATTAATATTAACATGAATACATGATTGAAAGGACCATCCAGACGGCTGTGGGAATTACTTATTAGTTGTAATTGTGGCACGTAGGTACTGTGTAGGCTTAGTTAAAGAAATCCCATGGCCAGTAGCGCTTGTGTCTTCTTATTGGATTTTCAGGAAGTTTGATCTAGGATAGATTATGACGTTTAAGATGATTTGAGTGGCAACGGAGGCGTTTATAATCAATCAACTTGTAATGGTAATTAAGATAAATATATATAAAGATAAAAGTTCAAAGAACTCAGATGCGTTTTAATTTTAAACAACTATATAGGTACCTATCTGTATAATAATTTTTATGATATTTTAGCACTCGAATTAAATAATTTAACAGAAAATGAAAAAAAAAATGAAATACTTATAGTTAATATATTTAGATTAGGTACTCAAGTATACTTAGATCTTCGTCGATACATTTTGCAATAGATAGCGAAAAATCATGTAAGTGAACTTTAATCAGCTTCAAGATATGTAGGTTCTGCACTTATACTATACAGGGTGTCCCGTGAGGATATATACCATCATTAGCTATTAGATTCGCCGCCTGGATTAAAACCAGTTTTTCGCTGTTTGCTTGTTTTATCCATGAACTAAAAAAATTATTAAAAATATTGAAATTAATGAAAATAAAATGTTGTAAGGTCAACATTTTCAACAAAATAAACTATATTATAAAGAATGTATCTAAAAAATAATTTTTTTTAAACTTTTACCAAAAAATAAAATTAAGTTAAAAAATACAATACATGTGGCCTTTGTCTTTGTGAGTCTGATATCAAAAACAGATTTATGATATATTCAATATGTTCAATTAAAAATACTTTTTCTTATATTCTGATTTCTGATCTATATATCTAAAAAAAATTAGGAGAATACAAACCTGATTTCCCTCCACGTTGACATACAATGCTTAGTCGAATTTTCTTTTTTTTTTAACCAGCTTTTTGTTTTTTTCCTATTAGTTTCAATCAATTCCGTTTTTTTCGTGTCTGTTACAACACCCTATCATATTTTTGTTAGTTATTTCCAAATTTTTAAATGATATTTTTTTTATAATATCAAATAATAGCAACCTTTAGAAATAATAAACAAAAAAATATATTCTATTTTTGTGCGTTTAATAAAATTACATTAATAAAATCGTTTTTAGATTCTTTGCTATAGCCTATGCTCTATATGGATTGAAAAATTTAGCTTTACACATCCTTTAAATCTCAAAAGACGAGGAATCTATTGGCATTTGGCATATATTTTTATTTTGAAAACGGACTATTAGTATAGTTTTTGAGTCTATTAACTTAAAATATTCCAAACTAGATTAAAAATATGGTTTAAATATGTACTACATTGAGTACAATATGCTGCACTTATTAAAATTGCTTAGTTACTTAAATCTAAACAATTCATTAAAAAAAAAAGGCTGTGGGTTACTGTAATGGATGGAGTTAAATTTGAATCCAATGATATTATATAATTGTATACGAAAAACGATTCTGAGCGAAGACGGTTTATCTGTCTAGGATATATTATAGATGATTAAAAATTTTCAAATCTTAGATTTAAAAAGAAAATTTTTTATGAATTTCTAGTTTCAAATAATTTGCGAATTTTCGTGATTTTTACGTATG